TTTCAACTTGGTTGATGCCATTTGGTGACAGCCTTTTAAAAAGTTACAGCTCAACTGGCAGCTGTAGGCCAGGCCTCTCAACCTGTTCACCTGCTCTTCAGCTGCTTTCCCAGCACTGACTGTTAGCGCCAGCTATTAAGTGTCCAATGGCCACTGACTGTTATGATCCGTTAGTGGTAAATTCTAAAAGAACAGGATTTCTCAGCTCCCTAATTGAACTACAGGTGTTTCTAGTGTAAGATAGGCAATTAGAAGACTGAAGCGGGAAAGAGAAATATTAATGCATATAATAAAAACACATTCAACTGGGCTATCTACAGCTATCACATTCACTTGCCAAGTAAAATCTATTAGCCTGATATGCTAAGGCACCTTAGATCCAGACAAATCCCTCCTGAAAATACCAGACAGGGCTGCAAGTACCCTCTGCACCCCTTCTCCTTGTCCAGCGCAGAAGGTATTGCTTTGTCTTTACAACTGGGAGTGTAAAGAGATATTGGAAGTGCTTCTTGAAAGTCAATGTCCAACACTGAGGTATTGCACAAACATAACACCGGGGCTGCACCCCTAGTAAAACTGATAGAAGAAACCTTTCCAAAGTAGGCAGAGCAAAGAGTCACAATTATAAAAAGGAGTGCTCTATCGAGATACATGTAGAGGAAGACATCTGGGAAGAGAGCTAGATTTAAATCTCAAGGTGGAAGGCAAAATAGCCAGTTTGCAAGTTCAAGTTGTTTTCTAGAGTTCTGATCCAAGCTCATTGTCTTGAGCTGCCATCATTCTTCTAGGTGCAGACTAATGTGCTTGACTGCCGTCCTTTGCAGGTCCAGCCAAGCTACTGGACTCTGTGGCTCTTAAATGCTGCAAGGCAGACTTCTACTGCTCACTTTGGATAGTAATTCTACAGTCTGCATTGATCTTGGTATCAGAAATATTTTACAAACCTACAGCTTGCCAGTGTTTCAATTCTCCCTTGTACTCCTAGTTACGGCTCCTTTGACAGCTCCCTCCAACCACCAAAAGAGAAGACTCTACTTATTTAGCATTTATTCATGTCACTGAGTTATAATTTGGCTAAGCTGTCCATAGGGAATCTTTCAATCTTTCCTTCCAAGCTAGTCCCTCTTGTCCTCTAAGTCACTTTGGAGGCTCAATACTCAGCATCCTGTGATTTGGCAGCAGCTTTCAGGTTCTGAAGTACTTACCCCAAATGCAAGCGCAGGAACTTCTGAATCTTCCACCAGGAGTCTTCCTGAGCATAAGCATGTGCTCTGCTCTCCCCACCACCAAGAACAGGCACCCTGAGGACACGATCTATGGCTATCAGGCAAAATGGGGTTGAGGGGGGATCGATTTGGTGGCCTGCTCCTGGATAACTCAAGAGTGTAAAGTTGTCTTTCCCATGTTGGCGTAGGCGCTCAATTGCCAGTTCAGCATATAATGAGCTCTTCCAGGTACGGTCAGCCTCTCCGACCACCAAGAGGAAATGACCCTCTGCTTTTTCTATGGGGATGCAGCAATGGGAATTGGCTGGATCCCTTGGGTCATCCAGTGCTTCAAAGATGTCAAACACACCATTCTCAGAAACAATGACCTTGCTCATGTCAAAGCGCAGTGCGGGCAGTGTCTTCTCACCATAATGAAGGTCAGTGACTGTGTGGAAGCTACAGCCAGAGATACAGACAGCAGCTACCACCTCTGGCAGGTAGGTGATCATGGAGAATGCCAATTCTGCCCCTTTCCCTGTTCCAATCACTCCGATTCCTGGCCCTTTCACCTTTAGACAAGGAGTACAGAGATGAAAGGAAAAAGAGTATGTATTAATAAGACTTGCCTTAAATTTCTTGGGAGTGTTTTCTTTCAAACATACTAGACAAATTGCCAATATCTGTTGGAAAGCTAGTCTGGACCCACGAACATGGGTCATGATATCCCATTTGTTCTGTGTTTTATTTTTCAAGAGAGTAAAAAATGTACCACCTCCAATCAAAAAGGTGCCACAGGCTCTTGCATTCCAAGCATTTAAAGTCCAGCCACTCAGACCCGACCCATGTAGCTACTGCATATTTTACTGCCTCTTTCAGAATATACAGAGGGAAATTTAAATATATTCTACTTGTTCAAGACCTACATAAGAAGGCTGCCCCAGCAGAAACACCTCTTTAAACCGACAGGGATTATTTAGTCCTGAACTTCCTTTTACTTGCAGGAACAGTCCTGGACACACACTGGAAGGGATCTGTTGAGTTCACTCTGCTGCTACTGAGACAATTATGTCATATAATTCCTTTTATAAACTAATGCAGGTCCAACAAAAAAAAGGAGTTGGGTTTTTTGTCTACACTACCCCCTTGAAAGCTTTTCCAGAACCTTACTACTTTAATGGTCAGAAACCTTTTGATTTCCAAATTAAGTTTATTCATTCTCAGAAGTCACTCAGTCCTACGCTTTCCTTCACTATTGGGACTCAAAGCATCTGCTGTTATCACTAGCAGATGGCTAACAGAAGCAGCCATTTCCTGGACTGCCAAGGCAATTTGAGTATTGTTTCTTCTTCCACCTAAACTGCCTTAATATAGCAATCCTTTTTTCCACTGTTCACAGCCAAAAGAACTGATCTACATGCATTTTTCTTATTACACTCACCTTTGGGTGGCGCTGCAGAAATCTAACTGCCTCCTCAAAGTATTGAAAGTTCAAATCTTTCATGACCCTGGGCAGATCTTCAAAGTCAAAATATGGCAGGGAAAGAGCAGCAAAGCCACGATTAGCTAGGAGACTAGCTCGGTACTCAGTCAACCCCCCTTCATCACCAAACATATCGATCACTCCTGGAAAGGGTCCATCCCCTACAAAAAAGATAACAAATGTTATCAAGCCAGAATACTAGAGAAATGCAAACTATAGTGGACATAGTAAGTTTTCTATCATTGTTAATAATTATTCTTTTCAAGGTAGAATATTGCTAGTGACAGCAGTATATTTTCCCTCTATAGCTATATGGAGTACCTGCCCAAACTAAGATCAGACCTCATCTACTGCTAAAACAAAGAAAACCTCAACCTACTTTTCAAATCCTTTGATCTGCCATTTTAAGGAAGCAGGTCATACTCTAAATCAACTCTCCTCAACCTTATGGCTTGCAGGAAATATGTAGCCACTGAGACATTCCAATATTGCTCTTAGCCACAGGAAATTCTGCTTTCCATGGATGTTTCTTTGGGTTCACGGGGAGAGCTGCGTACAATATTGCCACAGTCTATTTTTTTGCTCAGTATGGTTGCCCATGGGACAGTCAAAGCAATGTCATTTCAGAGTGGCATATATTTATTTTCCAGCAATGTTGCCAACACAGTAGATAGATATCCGCCTAGAGGGCTTAAGGACACTTCCTTCCTTCCTGTTTTGTGTCCTGGTGACAAGGTATTTAGCAGATTTTGCAGATTTGTGAAGAACACTGAAACAACCATATCTGTGCTTCTCAGAGATTTAATCTTGCAAGTTTGCTGATGGGCCATCAGATGTCACTGTTGATCCGCTCAAACCCCTGATCATTCCAACTATCCAGAGGCAAGGATTTTTTTGGCAATATCTTTTATTGGACCAACTGTATAGTTGGCAGAGTCATTAGACAAGCTTTCAGACACAAAACTGCCTCTCTTCGGGTCTGGGAAAGAAGCAGACACAGCTTGAGCTAAATAACAGACAGAAAAATAGCATGTGTATAATTTCACATTTAAGTGAAAACCCTTTGCTTAAAGGAATGGAGAAGGGCTGTAAAGTAGTAGCAAATATAGTGCAAAACAAAATGGCAGTGAGTAGTTAACCTAACTAGTGGAAGAGCAAAAGGCCATTTGAGAGGGAAAAGGGAATGGCCTCTCCAATATTTCTTGGACCATCAGGGCTATATCATCATTCCAACCCAGCTCAACTATCCGAACATTTGGGGGAAAGAGCATTCCAGGTTTTTGGGGTAAAGGCATATTAACTTTAGCAAGAGTTTAATACTGATTCTGATGGAAGAAAAGGCCTCTTGGCTTGTGATTTTGGAAACAGAAGCTTTGAACAAGATGTTTCAGACTGTGGAACAGGGAAGCCCCATTGCTTGAGAATATTTTTAATTAAGCAGAGCACTGGAAATACGCTGAAAGAGAGTGAACTAGCTGCGTTAATTGCTTTTCTTAATTTTTTATTTCTAGAATTCCAATAAATTGCAATGTTTCTCAGTTCTCAAGTTAAAGTTTGCAATTCCATTGGGGAATAGGAAGGGGGCAAAAACGTTAAACCTGAATACATTTTCTATTATAAAATGTCATGATTAAGTTTCATACTTTACTTAAACAAAAAATACAAGGCTTAAAAAAATACTCAGTTACTTATCACTGCTGAAACCAAAAACATTCAGGCAAGTGAAGGTGCTCAAATCATCAGCGTCTATAGAATTTAATATTTAGCTAAAAAAAAAAAAGTAAATTTCAAGTTCTTATGAAGATAACCTTCCAAATCTGCAGTCAAACCTGCCTCAATCTGTAGAAACAGGCACAGGCCAGCATCTCTCCTGTAATACACAGCATTGAATGAAACTGACTTGATGATTTTACTGCTATTGTGAACTCAACAAGTGGGTGGGAAAGACAAGAATTACATAAGCTTCACCCTGCTATGACTTGAGAAGTCCAGTGGCTCCAGTATATATGCTCCAAACAAGAAACACCTCTTATAGTACATATTTGGAAACATACTTCAGTCATTTCATTTTTATTTTGAGCAGTTTGCATTTCAGATTCTTGGCTTGATGTACAGACTCTTCATTTTCTTGCTGAAACCAAGAAATCTATGATGGAAACGTTGAAATTGAACAGTCCCCTAAGAAAATTACCATTGCTTATCCACCCTCTGGACTTCCCAGTAGGCTTGTAGCAGACTGGTTTGCAGAGGCTTGCCCCAGGCTGCGCACCTCAGGCTGTAGCCCGCTCCTGGCTGGCAGGGACTACAGCCCAGCTGCAGCAATACTAGACCAAGAATTCTCTCAGGGTCTGACAGAAGACCCAGGGCTGTAAGGATGGAGGCAACAATCCTGAGACCAGGACAGGAAATGAGAGAGAGAGAAGAGAAGAGAAGAGAAGAGAAAAAAGGTTGCACTGTGGTGCTAAGGGAGCAACACAAAGCTGGCAGCACCTTCTCACGGTCTGGAAAGAGACCCCAGGACAGTGAGTCACCCCTTTATAAACTGTGAAAACCTGTTTGAGCTAAACAAAACTCCCTGAACCTGCTATAAGGCTCTCTGAAGGATCATTTTTACTCTACGTTGCAGACCTACAGATGCCACCAAGCTGGGTAGAAAATCCAAGTATGTCTTTGAGGGTGGAATTTCACTTTTGGCAAAATAGCATGATTTCTAAGTTGAAGAAATGGTGCTGACTTAGACCTTGATGGACTTTGAATCTGGCCTTCTCTCAGTCTCTCCATCTACTTTGGACTTTGCATCAGTAGCTCAGTTAATAGAAGATATTGATTCAAGTCCCAGTTCAGCAAACTGGGACATGAATTTAACTCCTGCTGACATCAGTGGGAATAAAATAAGTTTAAGTGTTCTGCTGAATCAGGACCTTACATTATACATTAACATAAAATACAGAGAGCACCCACTCAAAACAAATCTCATTGCATGAGACTTGTAGAAGTTTACCTTGTAGCTTGAATGCAGAATTGGGTTTTAAGTAAATTAACTTTGCAATAGAATAACTTGCCATACTGGTATCTCACAAGAGGCAAAGGCACAAGAACCCAAGGCTCCATTACTTCAAGTTTTGCACTTAAAAGGGGAAAAGCCTCCTACTCAAATTCTGGTTTTGTCAAGAATGGGGGTATACACGTACTTGCTAGTCTGCTTGCTTATGCATTCTGCTGGGGAGTGGGGATATCTTTTGAGACTGAAAATATTAGAATCAATGGATGATTTGTCACCAGCTTTCAAGGTAGAACTAAGAGTGTTTTCTTCATGCTGTAAGATATTGACAAGACTTCCTATAATTTAATCTGCACTTCCGCTATTGGGAGCTCCAGCTGACTGTCCTCCAAGTTATGGGGAATTCTAGACAGAGAGAGGGGTCAGCTGATCTATAATCATCACTTGTTCTGTTGTACATGATTAATCATCCTCTGCTTCCACCTGTCTTATTACAAGCATCTAAGATGCACAGTATCATTATTTACAACGTTACATGCCAGTGATTGGTGGTTTTTTGCGTTATTTTTTTTCTATGCATTTAATTACTACTGTTCTATTTGTGCCTACTTGCATTCTCTCCTCTGTGTAGTATTCTACTATTATTATACTAGTATTCTCTCCTCTCTCTCCTCCTGTTTTCTGCATGCAGGAATCCCCCGTGGCTGTGTTCCTATTTATGAATTATACTCTGCATTGTTTATGTGCCTTCTATTTCTTAAAATTAGTGTTGCTCAATCCCCTGGCCCACAGGCTACATCTGGCTCCCAGAGCCATGTCATCTTGCCTGCAGGTCTCCTCATGGGTTTGGAAACCTGATGGTGGGGAAGCAGTAGCAACCAAAAACTGCTGCGGCTCTCCAGCCATCAAATTTCCAAGCCCCATTTGTCCGGATCAGCTCCAGCTGGGTCACCCCTATGCAAAAGGATTGGCTCTGCTACTGTGCAGCTGGATCAAGCCAGGGCCCAATGAAGCCATGAGGGAATGGGTCTTGCAGCAGTGCAGGATCAGGCCCCAGCCAGGCCAACACCCTGTACCAGACTGGATCCAGTCTGCAGATGGACCTGGTAGAGTGCACCAGGCCCACAGCCAAAAAAGCCAGACACCAGTCTGCAATCGTTCTTTTCGATCAAGCATGACCACTTTGGAGCCGGTCCAGAGCTCCCTGCCTCGCAGTCGCAAGCTGTGACCTAGTGACTCCCCTCCCCTTTAAAAACACAGTCAGACAAACCCATGCTGGGGCTCGCTGGTGACCAGCTAATCACTTACTGTGCACTCCCACAGCTCCCCTTGGACCAAAGTGGGGCGCTCTCAACCTTTCACAGAAGCCGGCCGGGCACTGACTGCCATGGCTTCCCTGGACCAAGGTAGGGCCTCATGCCTTGTATTGTGTCAGGACTGACAGTCATTTTACAAAGAGGTTAGACTATGGATTTGCACAGGATGGGTTGGAGGGGGGTGGTCCTGCCTCAGGCAGAGGGGCTGTCAGGAGTCCCTTGCAGCCCCAGTCTCGCAGGCAGGAAACGGTGGCTCTGCGCTTTCACTTCTCTCCTGACTCCAGGAGACAAAACAAGGGCGGGAGAGTCTCGGGGGGACTGGCAGCAGCAAGAAGGAGGATCCCTTGGTGAGATCCCTGGTGTCTCCTCTGAGCTCACCCAGCTACGCCCCTCTCAGCACCCCGGGGTGGCTGCGCCCCCGCCCCCCACCTCCGCGCCCCCGGCCCTCACCGGTGGGCAGGAAGAGGCTGCCGCGGACGCGGCCCTCCTTGAGGCGGACCCTGCGCACGCCGGGCGC